TGTTAAGTCAGGAGATTATGATCTGGTGGCAATTACAGAGACGTGGTGGGACAGCTCACATGACTGGAATATAGTCATGGAAGGCTATGTCCTTTTCAGGAAAGACAGGCCAGCCAGGCGGGGTGGTGGGGTTGCTCTTTATGTGCGGGAGGAACTACAGTGCACCGAGTTCTGTCCAGGGACAGATGATGAGCAAGTTGAGAGTCTGTGGGTGAGAATTAAGGGGCAGGCTGGCAGGGGGGATACTGTTGTAGGTGTCTGTTACAGACCACCAGATCAGGGTGAGGAAGTTGACGAGGCCTTCTACAGGCAGCTGAGAGCGGCCTCACAGTCACAGGCCGTGGTCGTTGTGGGGGATTTTAACTTCCCTGATGTTTGCTGGAAGGACCACTCGGCAACCCAGCCGCAGTCCAGGAGGTTCCTCCAGTGTACGGATGATAACTTCCTCCTGCAAATGGTGGATGAGCCGACCAGGAGAGGAGCGCTGCTGGATCTCATCCTCACTAACAAGGAGGATCTGGTCGAAGCAGTAAGGGTTGAGGGCTGCCTTGGTTGCAGCGACCACGAGATGGTGGAGTTCAGGATCTTGTGTGGCAGGACTAGTAGAATACCAAGTAGAATTGCAACCCTGGACTTTAGCAGGGCAAACTTTGGCCTTTTCAAGCAATTGCTAGGGGAAATCCCATGGGCAGGGCTGCTTGAAGGTAAAGGGGCCCAAGATAGTTGGTTGACATTCAAGGACTACTTTTTCCGTGCTCAAGATCGGAGCATCCCGACACGTAGGAAGTCAAGGAAGAGGGCCAAGAGACCTGCGTGGCTAAATAGGGAATTGCTGGGTATGCTCAAGTGGAAGAGGAGAGTTTACAGGTCATGGAAGGAGGGGCTGGCCACTTGGGAGGAATATAAGGCTGCTGCTAGAGGATGTAGGAAGGCAGCTAGGAGGACTAAGGCATCCTTAGAATTAAACCTGGCAAGAAGGGTCAAGGACAGCAAAAAGAGCTTTTTTAAATACATGGCAGACAAAACTAACACCAGAGGCAATGTAGGCCCACTGATGAACGGGATGGGTGCCCTGGTGACAGAAATTAAAGAGATGGCAGAGTTACTGAATGCCTTCTTTGTCTCTGTCTACTCTGCTGCGGGCAGTCCTGAAGAGCCCTGTACCCCTGAGACCTTAGATGAAGTCAGGTCGACGGAGCGGTTTGCCTTAGTCGACGAGGAATGGGTTAGAGACCAGTTGAGCAATCTGGACATCCATAAATCCATGGGTCCAGATGGGATGCACCCGCGGGTGCTGAGGGAACTGGCGGAAGTCATTGCTAGGCCACTCTCCATCATCTTTACCAAGTCTTGGGAAACGGGAGAGGTGCCTGAGGACTGAAGGAAAGCAAATGTCACTCCAGTCTTCAAAAAGGGCAAGAAGGAGGACCCGGGTAACTATAGGCCGGTCAGCCTCACCTCCATCCCTGGGAAAGTGATGGAACACCTTATCCTTGGTACCATCTTAAGGCATATCAAGGATAAGAAGGTTATGAGGGGCAGTCAACATGGCTTCACCAGGGGGAAATCATGTTTGACCAATCTCTTAGCCTTTTATGAGGAAATAACACGGTGGATGGATGATGGCAGAGCGGTGGATGTGGTCTACCTTGACTTCAGCAAAGCATTTGACACAGTCTCCCACAGCATCCTCACGGCTAAAATGAGGAAGTGTGGACTGGATGATCAGGTAGTGAGGTGGACTGCGAACTGGCTGAAGGAGAGAAGCCAGAGAGTTGTAGTCTATGGGGCTGAGTCTAGTTGGAGGCCTGTGACTAGTGGAGTGCCTCAAGGGTCAGTACTGGGACCGGTATTATTTAATATATTCATCAATGATTTAGATGAGGGAATTGAGTGTACTATCAGCAAGTTTGCTGATGACACTAAGCTGGGAGGAGTGGCTGATACGCCAGAAGGCTGTGCTACCATCCAGCGAGACCTGGATAGGCTGGAGAGTTGGGCAGGGAGTAACTTGATGAAATATAACAAGGGAAAGTGTAGAGTCCTGCATCTGGGCAGGAACAACCCCAGGTTCCAGTATAGGTTGGGGAATGACCTGTTAGAGAGCAGTGTAGGGGAGAGGGACCTGGGGGTCCTAGTGGACGACAGGATGACCATGAGCCAACACTGTGCCCTTGTGGCTAAGAAGGCCAATGGCATCCTGGGGTGTATTAGAAGGGCGGTGGTTAGTAGGTCGAGAGAGGTCCTCCTTCCCCTCTACTCTGCCCTGGTGAGACCGCATCTGGAGTATTGTGTCCAGTTCTGGGCCCCTCAGTTCAAGAAGGACAGGGAGCTGCTGGAGAGAGTCCAGCGCAGGGCAACTAAGATGATTAAGGGAGTGGAGCATCTCCCTTATGAGGAAAGACTGAGGGAGCTGGGTCTCTATAGTTTGGAGAAGAGGAGACTGAGGGGTGACCTTATCAGTGTCTATAAATGTATAAAGGGGGAGTGTCACGAGGACGGAGCCAGGCTCTACTCAGTGGCAAACAATGATAGGACAAGGGGTAATGGGTACAAACTGGAACACAAGAGGTTCCACTTAAACTTGAGAAGAAACTTCTTCTCAGTGAGGGTGACGGAACACTGGAACAGGCTGCCCAGGGAGGTTGTGGAGTCTCCTTCCCTGGAGACATTCAAAACCCGCCTGGACGCATTCCTGTGTAACATTATCTAGGTGTTCCTGCTCCAGCAGGGGGATTGGACTAGATGATCTTTCGAGGTCCCTTCCAATCTCTAACATACTGTGATACTGTGATACTGTGAATTAAGTTATCTGCTGACGCTGAACACAGAGCATACAGTCCTAACTATGACCCTTTGGGAATTACCTTGATCAAAATAAACCCTATGAAGACTGACAGGAAATTGGGCTGCCATATATAAAATATAGTCCCAAAATAAATACGTAAAGTACTTGTATTATATATAAATTACTACTGTCTGATTAACTGCACTTCACCGATAAAAACAGTTGGTTTATATGCTGAGGGCAACTGCTTCTAAGAGTATGATGACGAATGTACCTGCTCAATGCCACAGCAGTACTTTGCCTGTAATCTCTGTTGCTTTCATTAAAGTATTTCCTTCAGGGAAGCCCACGGCTCTGTAACTCATTTCTTCTCTTCTAGTACAGGTACCCACTGATTTGGTCCTATCGACATCTATCCTCCCAACTCCCCACCAAAACTCAGATGCCAGGCCATAGCTGCTCTACAAACACATTTAATGCTTCGTGCTGGAGGCACCACCTTCTTCAGTATCTTTTCTTTCCTCTGGATCTGAGCAGGCATCCTACAGCAAAGGAACACATACATAGACTTTTTTTCATGGAAAACCCTCTCTTACCAGAACAGAAGTCTCTTGGGTGACCCTTTATCTCTAGGTTTTTCTTTCTACACCTGCTTCAGGGAACCCTCCTATATAAACTACTGGTTTCTTACACATCTCTTAAGTTTACTGAGTCGTGCAGACTGCCTTTAACTGTAAAATATTTTTAATGTAAAAACACTTTTGGAATTAGCCTGAGCCCACTGATGTGGGTCAATCCAGCCTGTGTCAAAGGCATGTAGGATGAGACAGTAGAGTTCTGTATTGGTTTAGGAAGGTTTGGTTTTGACAACCAATAGCTTTTCTTGCATTAGGCTAATTCACTGAATCCTCTCTTTCCTCCATTATATTTAGATGAAGAAAGGAATGTTCCAGGTATGAGATACACTTCCCATTCAATATTTTCTCCTAAAAATGCAGCCTGGATTTAGTAATTACTCAACACTATCCTGCAAAGTCTACAGACTATCATGAATACTTAGATTAGCCAATCCTCATTTTCCCCCAAACTCAGCTAAGGCAATCCAAGAAACCGAATTTATATAAACAATAAAATGATTTTACTGTGCAAGTTCAGAAATACTGACAGTTTCATGGAAGAAGACACTTGAGATGAATTAAGAAGCTTTAACAACCCTACAGAAAGGCAAGTACACTGGCTGAAAAAGCAGCCAGCATCTGGAAATGAGTAATGAGGTACTACAGCACAATTCAGCTAGTGGATGCTTCAGCTTTTACTGCATAACTAAAGTGCAGCAACATGGTATGATAAATGCAGGAGTGATTCTTCATGAATATGAGGCATATAGAGCTTCTGGGACTATGATATTAATTCTATTTGCTGAGTCTTCATATTGGACAATTTACTGTTTTCTTGCTTAATAAGCAATAGATGCAGCCTATGATAGGTAAACACAGAATTTGCTTTCTCACCTCAAATTGGCAGATGCTACAACAGTCCTTCTAAAGACATATATTAACACTTCCACTGCAGCTATGTAAGCCTATATAACTTTTTCCAGCTGGTTGGAAAATAACTTCTGAAAAAAATACCTGCAACAGTATGGATCTGTTTGGTGGTGGCATCTGTCTGAAGACAGACCACAGGCATCTGTTCTGTCTGTGAGGCAAAGAATATGAAGGATTTTCATTGAAAGCTAGTAAATACATTTCACTATTCCTTCAGTCTCTTCTGTCTCATTTTGAGTTTCTTAAAAACCTGCAGCCCTGTCTGAAAGAAATCCAGGAACTTTTGCCAGTGAGTGTAATGGAATGATTTCCTAATGATGCCTTCCTCTCTACGAGGCTAGAGGAAGTATAATTTTCTGGGAGGGACTATTCATGCATTTTATTAAGCAAACTTTCAGAAGTGCTTAAACTCTTCAAAGTTGAGGGCAATATAAACAAGCTATCAGAGAAGCTGAACTGCTTAACTGTTACAGAGTTGTCTAAAAAAAGGTCTTAATATGCCTAACAAGGATAAATACTGGGAACAGGACCTACAGTAGTTACTAAGAAGTACTGCAATGCCTAAAGTGATTTTTAAAACCAAGTATAAAGGTAATTTCTTCCCCTATACCTGTGAATAAAAGATCTGTGTTTACTAAAAGTAACAAACTCCAACTCAGAGATGCTTTGAAGCAAAATTGAGAGCATTTATTAGAGACCATAAATTATAATTTAATAAATTAGTATTTATGTTTAGTTTGAAATTGTTCATAATTTTTCCCTCATGTGAAAAATAAATCCATATAGCAAGGCAGAATTGAAACAAGACACAAACTGGAGTAGATTTATACAGCAACTTGCTAAAAACTAAAACTTTCTCATAAATGGATTATCAATTACTGTTTATTTAAGAAATGAATTTAGAGGAGAGTTAAGGTCATTTGATGCATTTCAACTTTATGTTAGAATAGTCTTGACCAAGAATCTCATTTTAACAAGATCTGAAAAGTTAAAATATATTTTTCACTGTAAATATACTACTGCTTCAACATTTTCTTTTATATGAACTCAGTTGTTACTTATGGCAACATAATTGGCTGGAAAGATGCCAGTTTGTCCTCCTACTCTACCTTCCCACCAATCAAACTGGGAATCTGTTTTGGTTGTGACCATGATTTTGTCTCCAGCTTTGAAAGTCAAGTCACCTGGCTGTTGTCCTTCGAATGAATAAAGTGCTGTCACTTCTACCGGCTTACTCCAAGAGTTACCTGAAATGACAGAAATTAAATAAAATTACTAAACTACATATACAATAAGTCCTTACATACAATATTCTTAAATGACAGTAGAAATCTGTGACAAAGACACCAAAATAATTTATCTGAGCGTATAAACTGCTGGTGAAAAAAACCCCTCCATTTCCACTACAAGTGAATGGAATATGGATTCCAGCCTATCAGCACAGTCTATTTAATAATGTAGCCTATGCAAAATAAAGATCAGCAATTTTTTCTATATGCCTCATATGTCAGAGACAGTAGGAACAGAAGCAGTGGGTTGAAGAAAGCACGAGCACTTTCTGAAAGATTGCTGAAAATAAACAGTTTTGGATTTTAGTTTTGGTATGTGTTCTCTGTGACATTTTCACCACAGAATCTGCAAAACTTAAACCAGGTATTTGATTTTTTTATCAATACTCAGGATAGAAGATGGCAAAATACAACATCCACAGCACTTCCTTACTCTTTCCAGGGGGTTTACTGCATCTAGATGCTGGTATACCTTGCATGTTAAACAAAACACACAAAACATGCTAGCAGAAAGAACCGAGTATGGTTTGATGTACGGGAAGTGACTTGGCTTGCATTGTGGTATGTTAGACCACATACACATGTGGCTTTTATTCTCTTCCCACCAGTCTCTTACATAACTCTTCCAGTCCTTAGCTGAGGTTGGAATCATGCCATGAGTTTTCTGATCTAGTTTTAAAGGGATCTAAATTCTTGGATACCATCATCCAGCCTCCATTCCTGCTGACACATTTTAGCCAGTATCTCAATGGTTATTACTATTGAACTTTTAATCTAACTGAATATCTTTAATTTGATAATAACTGTTTTTGCTCTCAATTCCTTCAACTGTCTGAATTATAAGAGGTATCTGTGTCTGTTTAATGTTGATGTAGAAAGTAGTTACATCTCTTGCATGAATGCACCTAAAAGTGAAAAATGGAAGGTACAATGGAAGCATAGTCAAGACGAAATAATAAAGATGTTCAGACAGTCAAGTGGAGAGATTTCAGGAGGTATGGATCATATGGACATGATGGCTGCACAAATGCTGAAGATTAAAGGTTTCTAGCACGACTTGCACCTGCTTGCTGGCAAAACTGTGCTGCAAGAGAGGAAACCCAGGCTCTTTTTAGTCTATATGTTGCAAGTACAGAGCTAGAAAGGATAGTGAGAGAAGCACTGATACAACTCTTTTTTTGTTTGGAAGTCTGTTGTCAACAACTGATACCCGCAGAACTTTTCTTCTAGTTGCTTTTAGCATTTCAAAAGAAAGAGGAAAAGTCCTTTCCCCCAGGCCTCACAAATATAAACTGCAGACAAAACAGGACAGGCAGAGAAGAATAATGGACTATAAATACATGCATGAACACCATAGATTTCCTCCCCCCCCCACCATCTGTCAATATATATATTCATTCCATAGTCCAGTTCTTTGCCTTCATGATCTGCATTTGTAGCAATTATCAAAGATTTATGCAAAATTATTTGGTTGTGTGCTGGGAGAGTGTTGGTTGCAGAGAAGCCAAATCCTGTTTTCCTTGATTCCAGTCTCTCCCTCCTGATATCTATATTCATGATCTAAAGTCAGACACCAGTATTCCTTTTAATGTGAGAACAAAACCAGATGAGAATATCCATGTTTATCAGGTCCGTATCTCCAGCAGTTACTCAAACCAAAAGAACAAAAAAAAGGCAGCAATACAGCTTTTCTAAATATACTTTTACTTTCACACTTGAAACGCACCACAATATTGCCTCCAATTATTATTTGCACTGTCATATTAAAAAGATTGGTTTATGCATTTCCCTTCCCACTTTCTGTATCTGTGTAAACATACAGAAACCTCAAAGCACTACAGCTAATTACGAACATGGGTTCTGTGTCCTTGCTCCATTTGCTACTTTGCTACCATTTAAAAGCATTTTCCAACTTTATTCCTGTCAGCTATTTCATAACAATTCCTATTTAATTTTCCCAGCAGCTCTTTCCCATCCCATAGTTCATTTTATTTCTCACAGAGATTCTAATCTCTCTGTTTTACTTCTGTATTTTTGTAGCATAAAACCAGATAAAATACGTATTTATTGCCTCCTGATGGCAGTATCCCATGCCTCGTATTTATTTGGATCATCCTGGCATATAGGTATCTTAAATGAATGCATTGTTATGAAATCTACCACATACATTATAAGGGGGAATTATTTCATGCTCCTGTTTCCCCAATTTCAGTTTTACATGAAAGGGTTTTAAATAAAATTGTTACAGTCAATATGAAGATTGCTGAATGCATATACTGAAACCACATTTGAAGCTCACACAAGATGGTGCTACAGGGCTACACACAGGAAAAGATACTGAAATCATTGAGATTTATGAGTGTGCACACTGAAATAAAAACAAATTACATTGTAGAAAATCATTAATTAATGGTATCTGAATAAACACAGCACACTTCTACAAACAGTGGTCAAAACAGAAATACAGAAATTTTGGCTGAAGATCAATTAGTGCAGCAGCCAGCATACATACTCAATGCTCTAGCATACATGTGTATGGTGTATGCTTTATAACAAACTGCTCTGACCACAATATCTTTTCATTTTTATTCATCTTTACATACCATAATGATTTGAACCTTTTGCTAAGGACTACTGCTAGAGACTTAATGGGGTATAAACTAGATTGAATTTACAGCCTCTTGGCTGTGCTGCAGTACCCATCCCAGAGTGACTGAAAGAGTGATAAAATTACCTTTAATTAGAGGGCATTTAGCACAGAACAAGAACATTCTCTAGAAAGTTGCTACAGAACAGATACATGGTCTGCATTTCTAATAATTGGCTGAAGAGTGCCAGGAGCCTTTTTTTGACTTCAAGACCAATCGGCATGTACTGGCCACATACCTACCAGTATACACTCACCACACAGGCGGGAGAGCCAAACTACCTACTGTTTCATGCTGGAGTAACTCCTAAATTACATCTGTGAATTATATGGAAAAGTGCAAGGTGAGAATAACGCCAAAGAATTTTATAACACCACAACCACACAGGTAACTGAGTTATAGTGCACAGGCCTGTGCCTTCACACTCTTTAATGTAGTAGTAAGTGTAGCCATTAGTTTCACATTCTAATGTAAACCTACAAAATATTAATTAAACCATAGGGTGTTTCTAAGACTGTTTTTTAGAGAAGAACAGTCATTTTACATCATTTTAGGTTCAGCTTATTATGCTTCCATAAATCTGAGCTGGAAGACAGAATAATATAGTTCAGCTGTGGGTCCCAAATTTAATTTTACTGGCATAGATGCACATATACCCTAGCCACTGAATGTCTGATCTTGAAGAGCTTGCAGAAGAATTATACAAAAACTGTAAAGTGCTGCTTTTAGTCCTTGGCACAGCAAACTGAAACAAATCTCACGTATTTGAGATTAGTGGTGAGAATGCTAAACATCCACTTTGGAAAATTTACTAATTATCAATAATTAGAGAGTTAGCATGATTTTGTGGGTCATGTGTGCACCTATGTCATGGTTCAACCACAGCTGGCAACTAAGCACCACACAGCTTCTCACTCACTCCCCCTTGATGGGATAGGGAAGAAAGGAGGGTAAAAGTAAGAAAACTCACGGGCTAAATGGGATAGGGAAGAAAGAAGGGTAAAAGTAAGAAAACTCATGGGCTAAGACAAGAACAGTTTACTAGTAGAAATAATGATATAATGATAATAATTGTAATGAAAAGGAAAATAAGGAGAGAAACGAGCCCCAAGAAAAACAAGTAATGTGAATGAAAAACAACTGCTCACCACCAACCCGACTGATGCTCAGCCTGTTCCCAAGCAGCAGCTCCCTGGCCAGCTTTCCCCCTAGTTTATATGCTGAGCATGATGCCACATGGTATGGAATATCCCTTTGGCTAGTTAGGGTCAACTGTTATGGCTGTGTCCTCTCACAGCTTCTTGTTCAGCCCCAGCCTGCTCACTGGCAGGGCATGAGAAGCTGTAAAGTCCTTGACTTAATGTAAGCACTGCTCAGGAGCAACTAAAACATTGGTGTCTTATCAGCATTGCTCTCATTCTAAATCCAAAACACAGTACTGTACAGATACTAGGAAAAAAATTAACTCTATCCCAGCTGAAACCAGAACAATCCATATGACAGAAATGATAACTGTACTAACTCAAACTAGTACTTCTGGCTTTGGGTTAATCTAAACCACATTAAACAGCTTACACAAAAGGAGTCCTTGGACTCAACTGCCACGGCCAACAAGCCATCTGATCAAGGTGACTGATGACTGGCAGGGTAATCCTACTGTTGACTGTCCATATATTACACACTTTCTGCTAAATCTCTCCTTTGGTAAATGGGACTGGTTTCTTCTGCAGTTGAAAGGTCGTAACATTGCTTCTATTGGGATGCAACATACCATATGGAGATGTGATTGTCTAGATAGATATATTTTTCCTTGGAACTGAATAGTCTATCATACTCTTTTTTTTTTTTTGTGCAACCTTTAGAATGCATGGCTAGTAGCTTTTGATATTTAAAAAACAGTGTGGATGAGTAACACATTCTAAATACTAAATTCTACTTTCTCTGCATATTGTAAAGAAATACAAGTGACTGGAACTGCAATACAAAATGTTAAAAGTCAGATGAGTCTCCAGCATCAGAGATGACAGAAGTTGTACCCTGCTGCCATAAAAGCTCCACCAAAAAGTGTCAGCTTACAGAAAAGCTGCAATAGAATTCTCACTGGTTAAATGGAGACATAGAAAATTAAACAACCACATGAATCCTGTTTGTGCAGCAGAAGTAAAAGAAAACTGACACAGAGACCAAAGCACAGAAAACAACTAATCAATCTAGGCAGACTTAAACATCTATGCTTTTAAAAACAAATATATCAAGTATCAAAAAGGTTACCTATCGCTAATACACTGTTCAGAGACATTGAAAGCTTCA